GGGGCTAAACGGGCGCGGCACTGGCTAGAGAAGAGATGGAGTGATGTGGTACAGGAGGACGTGGAGCTGAGTGGACTTGCCGATGACTGGTACCAGCGGTGTCAGGATCGGCCTCTGTGGAGGAGGCTCGTGAAGGACGCTACTGGGCAGTTGGAGGCAGTCGCCCTCCAACAACAACGGAGGGCGGAGGAGCGACGCTCACAACAACGAGCGGAGCGCCGGGTGGCTAAAGGACAGCAGATTGGCAGAGTAGGGGGCACAGGTGGTGCATCAGCCAGTCATCTCAGTCAGTCGACCCGTGGCACCTGGGTCTGCCCCGTGACCTGCCAGCGGGCGTTCGACACTTCACGTGGCCTCAGGGTGCACATAGCCTGGCACAAGCGTCGTGGTGACGTCACCGCCACTTAGTGGCGAATGGCGGTTGATGTGTATGTGTGTATGTGTGTGTGTATCTATATATATGTGTGTGTATCTGTGTGTGTATCTGTGTGTGTCTGTGTGTGTGTCTGTGTGTATATGTATGTGTGTATATGTATGTGTGTATATGTATGTGTGTATATGTATGTGTGTATGTATGTGTGTGTATCTATGTGTTGTGTATATGTATGTGTGTGTATCTATATGTGTGTGTGTATATGTAAGTGTGTGTGTCTGTGTGTGTGTCTCTGTGTGTGTCTGTGTGTATATGTAAGTGTGTGTGTGTCTGTGTGTGTATATGTATGTGTGTGTGTCTGTGTGTGTGTGTCTGTGTGTGTATGTGTCTGTGTGTGTGTCTCTGTGTGTGTATCTACGTGTGTGTGTGTCTGTGTGTGTATGTGTGTGTGTATGTGTGTGTGTGTCTCTGTGTGTGTCTGTGTACTTACAAGAGCAACTGGAAAGAGCCATCCACAAGCATCGTCTGAAAACTGGGACAGTGCCTTAGACACAAATTCTTGACCTACGCACGAACACACAGACACACACACACACAGATACAGACACACATACACAGACACACATACACACACACACAGACACACACATAGATGCAGACACACACAAACACACACATAGACACACACAAAGAAACAGACACACACCCAGACACACACACAGATACAGACACACACAGACACACACACAAATACACAGCACTAGTGTATAGTAGCGTAGTGTATAGTGTGGATTATATTGTATCGTGTAGCATGTATTGTATAGTAGTGTATAGTGTAGCGTATAGTGTATAGTGTAGTGTAGTGTATAGCGCAGCGTATAGTGTAGCGTAGTGTAGCGTGTAGTGTATAGTGTAGTGTATAGTGTAGTGTATAGCGTAGTGTAGCGTGTAGTGTATAGCGTAGCGTATAGTGTAGCGTATAGTGTAGCGTGTAGTGTATAGTGTAGTGTATAGTACAGTGCATAGTGTTGTATCTATAGGCCTTCTCCAAAATTGATGTGAATAATAATACTTGGCGATATTTAAAACAAAAAAATAACACAGTCGCTACGACAAGGACCAGCAAAAACAGCAGCCGGAGATCGTAAAAAGGCAAACGAAAAATAAATAATAAACTCCGGGGGCAATGGGAGAGTTCATCTTCTTTGGTTCTTTCGGTAAAGTCACCACGTAGAATGAGAATAAAATAATGAATTGATAAAATAAAATAACACAATAATATTCTCACGACGTTTCGGCCACAACACAAGCGGCCTTCATCAGGTGAAGGGACGAGACTGTCTGGTAGGACAGCGCTGGAGTGAAAGAGCCACGTTCAGATCACGTCCTTTAAGCTGTGTGAGAGGAACAAAGCGCCCTCAACTTTAGCACCACGGATAGCTACAGAGGAGGGGGAGAGAGACAGCTTAGAGTCGCGGCATCTCTTCAGAAAGGTGAGAGACTCGATTAGTTGAGCCTTCTTATCCCGAAGTCTGTTGAATGATCTTAAGGATGTGTGGAATCCCTCCCCGTAGAGGCGGTTAAATTTCGATTTAAAGCTTTCGTGACTGCAATGATTCATCTTCTTTGGTTCTTTCGGTAAAGTCACCATGTAGAATGAGAATAAAATAATAAATTGATGAAATAAAATAACACAATAATATTCTCACGGGAGAGTTAGCGAAAAAAAAATCTCTAGATTGCCAAGGGGGACAATTCACAAACGCGCCTATTTGCTGTAACACAGCCGCCCGGGGTCACCAAAAGGGTTAGGGGGGCACATTCCAGGATTCACGGACCAACCCCACCCCCCCGGGCTCCGTCAGCCCGCAGACAGAGTGACCCCACACACACACGCACACACGCAGGGAGCGGAAAGTACAAAAACCAGTGGCATATCGGAGGCAGGGTCGAACCGTTAAACCACAAATTCTCGGGGGGGGGGGTTGGGGGCAGAAAATGCAGCGTCGCACCGAGGGCTACCGAGAAAGAACGAGGCGGAATGGGACGGGTTTCGCACAGCCAAGACAGACGGTGCTCCGGGTGGAAGGAGCCTCCGGGCCGCCTTTGTCTTACCGCAGCGCGGGAGAGCCAGAGCGCAACGCACCCTTTCGAGATCGAACGGAGGACAGGGATAGGCGGGGGAAGGAATTTCTCTGGCAGAGCGGCTTCCAGGACGCCGATAAACCGGGCAGGGCGGGATCCGATCATTTTTAAATCAACGGAGGGCCCAAGGAAAACTTCGCGACGGGAATCAGCTGGCGTTACTACAGGGGCTGATGTCGGGAAACACGAACCAAAAATGATGACTGTGCAGGGTTAAAACGAGAGCCAGCCAGCCAGAGAGAGAGAGTGAGAGAGAGACTCCCGGCCGCCTTTGTCTTCCCGCAGCGTGGGAGAGCAGGAATTGAACACCAGAGCGAGGGAAATGTATTATCGCGGGGAGGGGGGGGGGCCCCATCTGTAGTCACGGAGGCGCTGGACTTAATGATATACACACACACGGACTACACCCCCTCCGCCTCCACCCCCCCACAACGCAGAGTGGATATCTGTTTCCCCCCCCCCCCTCTCTCTCTCTCTCTCTCGCAAGAGAGACGCGGGAGGGGAGGAGAGAGAATTTCCCATGCAAGCTCGGCAAGGGGGCATCGAGCCAGCCCTCGAGGGCATGGCCTCGAGACACGGGCAACGGGGGTGCTGGGCCCCGTGGGGTGGCGCTGGGCGCCGACAGAGCAACCGCCCCTGAAGCTTGTTCCGCATTCGCCCGGACGCCTTGGGCCGCTTGCCGAGTCGAGGACTGCCCCGAGCAGCACCGTACTACGCTACCGGAGCTGTCTCCAGACGTGAGGCTTTCGTGACTGCAAGGGGGATCACACGCCCATTGGGGGCTCTATTCGGCAAAAGTCACGCGGGTAAAAAAAAAAAAAATAATCGAAAAATAAAACGACAAAAACAAAAAAAAATAATCGCACGACGTTTCGGGCCGCAACACAAGCGGCCTTCATCGGGTGAAGGGACCGGACCAGTTTTTTTTTATTTTTTATTTCTTCACCTACGCGACTTTACCGAATGGAACCCAGAGAGTACCAGAGTTGTGCGAGAGAGAGGGGTGTGCGCGAGCACAATTTTCAAAGTGTTGAGAGCGAGCGGCGATTCGGCTCTCGACAGCTTCATCGAGACAACAGCTCCGGCGAGATAACCAGGAGAGGGCGGAGAGCGGCCGGCTCCAAGGGGGGCCCCCACCTCCCCCCACCCCCCGCCGCCGCCCGCGACCGACCGAGGCCGGCGAGGCTCGCCGAGTAGCGGCGCATCAACGAGCGCGAGTTCAGAGCCGAGAGGCGGAGCGTTGCTCCAAGACCTTTGATCTCTGCGCGGAGCGCCGGCTCCCAGCTGCGGCGGGCGCGCCCGGCCGCCAGCGGAAAGAACCTGACCAGCCGCCCGTGAGCAAGAGCGCCATCGGACCAGCGGACCAGCGGACCAGCGGACCAGCGGACCAGCGGACCAGCGGACCAGCGGACCAGCGGACCAGCGCGCGATCGTTCAAGAGCATCTCCACGGAGGGAGAGCGCGTGCGGCGGAGCTCATCGTCCGGAGGCGGAGGGAGCCTTCGGTCACAGCGTCCGACGCCGAGCGATGGATGGGGAAACCAGCCGTTCTTTTTGGTTCTATTCGGTAAAGTCACTTTTACCGGACAGAGCCAAACAGGTGTGGATCCTTTGCAGTCACGAAAGCTTCAAATCTCGACATAAACCAGCCGTTGTTCGCACGCCCCTCCCCACCTTCACAAACCCACGGGCGCTTACGTCACCTGCTCACGCGAGGATTTAACCAAGGGGACAATCCACCGCACCAGCGCGGTATCGAGGACCGATTCTGAAGAGCGTTCAAATGTCAACCGACCGTGCAGGACACGTGGATACGGCCAATTCAGAAGTACCTCGGTCGCCCGTTTCTCTCCTTAATGGCACAAGCCTGCCGATGAATCCATTGACGTATACTTCGATTTAAAGCTTTCGTGACTGCAAGGGTTCATCTTCTTCGGTTCTTTCGGTAAAGTCACCGCCACGTGGAATGAGAATAAAATAAAAAATTGATATTATTGCGTTCTTTTAGTTTATCAATTTATTATTTTATTCTCATTCTACGTGGCGGTGACTTTACCGAAAGGACCAAAGAACATTGACGTATACTTGTGCCTCCGAGCATGATAACTGCTCCGATCGCTCATGCGCGTGAACATCGTCGCATTCATTTTTAAGGACCTTTTATTCGTATTTCCCTCACGCCCGTGGCGCTCAGAGGAAGTAATCAAGTTGTTCCGTTAACGCAATTAACAACGTGATTATTGAGGCCTGAAGAGATGGATCAATGGAATGAACATCGCCTGTGGTGCCGTGCTGACAATTTCAAGTATAATAATAATAATTTGCGTTATCGCGTTTTTGTTTATAGAGCAGCGTGCATGCGTGCTTTAACGGCTCTCGCTATCAACAAATGAGCTCGCGTTCCGCGGTGGAATTAATCACATGTTGCAGTTGCCAAAGCGAATCAACGCGACCGTTGGCGTTTACTGTGCTGGTGCGGTGTTGATAATTCCGAGCTTGAGAGTTTGCATATCACCAAAGTTAAGGTCTCGTTAGAATACAAATTGCTTAGCACACAAGTGTCTGGGTGTTTCTTCATGTCTACTGCATTAACCACAATACCTGCAGTCAAAATTGCAAACTAAACAAACACACACACACACTCTATGATAATATGATGATGCATCGTCCTTGAAACTGATTGGTCCACACCAAGGGACGGCTTTGGAACAATCAGTTTCAAGGACAATGCAACATCATATTATCATAGTACGTGTTTTGTTTGCATTTTGACTGCAGGTATTGTTGTTAATGGAGTAAACATGAATCCTTGTAAGAAAAAGGTTTCAGTTTTGTTGTCAGATAAAAAGGGGTAAAAACCCCTATTATTATTATAATTACATTTTGGTACTGGCAAAGGGGGGTCTGATGACATAATAATCTTATTAGTTACAAGAACTGTATCCTGCGTTGAGATTCGAATTTGGAGACCTAAAAATAAGCGCACAATGAGTGAATGCTAAAGCGAGAATAATTGTACTATAGCCGAGCGTTAATACAAAACTAGAAAACTATGCCGAGCTTACTCTGGCATGCTTGAATCACACCGGCAAAACTTCCCACGGCTGATTGCATGATCACGATGGATAATCCGACCCTCGTCAGCGAGGCGGGGGCCTAATTATCATACGGGATTGTATTAGCATAACCACACCCGCCCGCATAAATTAATGTGATTATCTGTAGAATTAGCTTAATTTATGCACGTAATTGCACCAATTAACATAATTTCGGATAAATACACAAACTCCAAAATGCATTGAGTTTTTGTTATTTTCAAAATTTTCATACCCGACATATACAACAATAGTGTAGTGTATAGTGTAGTGTATAGTGTAGCGTGTAGTGTATAGCATAGTGTATAGTGTAGTGTATAGCACAGTGTATAGTGTAGTGTATAGTGTAGTGTATAGTGTAGTCTGTAGTGCAGTGTATAGTGTAGTGTATAGTGTAGTGTATAGTGTAGTCTGTAGTGTAGCGTATAGTACAGTGTATTGTGTAGTCTGTAGTGCAGTGTATAGTGTAGTGTATAGTGTAGTTGTATAGTAGTGTAGTATATCGTATAGTGTGTAATGTATAGTGTATAGGAGTGTATAGTGTAGTTTATAGTGTACACTACACACACGATACACACACACACACACGTGTGTGTGTGTGTGGGAGCGGTGGTGCAGTGGTTAGCGCTACGCTGCACTATGAACCTGGCGACACGGGTTCAATTCCCGCTCACGGCCAACACCAGTGACGATTATTTGAACCGGTCCCGGGCCTCATCAAGGTCGACTCAGCCTCAAATGAGTACCTGGTTCGGTGTGTAAACATTGCGACTAGGGAGACAAAGGCGGTCAGGCGTGGTGCTGGCCACCCACCCCCTCGTGTACCGTTCCGGCCTTCATAGGTGCTCGCTAACAGCACTTGCCCCTACAGTCTGTTAAGGCTATATGGGGGATCTTTGTGTCTGTGTCTGTGTGTGTGTCTGTGTGTGTCTGTGTGTGTGTCTGTGTGTGTGTGTCTGTGTGTGTGTGTCTGTGTGTGTGTCTGTGTGTGTGTCTGTGTGTGTATCTGTGTGTGTCTGTGTGTGTGTAACTGTGTGTAACTGTGTGTGTGTGTGTCTGTGTGTGTGTCTGTCTGTGTGTGTGACTGTGTATGTGTGTGTGTGTATGTGTGTGTGTCTGTGTGTGTGTATGTGTCTGTGTGTGTGTGTGTATGTGTGTGTCCGGCAAAACAACCCCATAGCTCCTCGCGGTGCCGGACGGGCAACTCTGTCGTGGACAGTGCTGTGGGGGGAGATCCAATTTTGATTGGATCCTCCCCTCATGGCATATGTGTCCACCACAGGGGCTAAACGGGGGCTCTGGACGGGTGCGAGGGGCTGGTAACCCCTCCACCTTCAATTAATTACCACGAAACCACGAGTTAAACTGAAATATGTAACAAATAAGCTTGTGACGGAGGCCCCGGGGGGCCAGGCGTCTATGACGTCTCCTGGCCAAACCCCAATTGGCGGAGCCAGGATATTGAATACCTACCCTCGGGGCTACTCCAGAAACAACGAAAAGCCACTACGGGTGGCCACGTGGAATGTTCGAACGCTCACTGCAGAGGAGAGGCTGCCACTCCTCTGTCGGGAGCTGGACCGGTACCGCCTGGATCTATGCGGCATTCAGGAGGTCCGGTGGACCGGCTCTGGCTCCTGCCACCATGAGGGGTGGACAGTCCTCTACTCGGGGCAGCAGACTGCCAAACAACAGGGTGTGGGTCTTCTTTTGAACAAAAGAATGAAGGGGGCGTGGGAGCGTGGCGGTGAGGTGTGGGAAGCTGTAAACCCCAGGCTACTTTGGGCTCGCCTTCCCATCAACCGGAGGCGAGGAATGGTGGTCGTGGTTACTTATGCCCCCACCGAAGATGAACATCCGTGGAGGGATGCAGGCAAAGCCGATGAGTCAGATGCCTTCTATGACCTCCTGTCACAGGTGCTGGCTAAAGTGGCCCCTCGGGATAGAGTCATCATGTTGGGTGACTTCAATGCTCGAGTTGGTCATGATACTGGCACCTGGTCTGGAGTGATTGAAGGGCATGGGCCAGATCAGCTCAATAACAACGGTAGGAGGCTGTTGGATTTTTGTGCAGCCCATGGGCTTGTAATTACCAACACGCTGTTCCGGCATCGGCGCATCCACACAACATCATGGATGCATGCCGGGTCCAAGCAAGAACATCTGCTGGACTACATAGTGACGGACCAGCGAATGCGAGCCCATGTCCTTGACAGCAGGACTTACCGTGGAGCTGATCTGCCCTCTGACCATCGACTAGTCATCTGTAAGATGCGCCTGCCATTCTTCCACTCCGGTGGTGGGTGTACACCCAGGACCCCATTCCAACATAAAGTGGCCTGGTCTCAATTATCTGATGAAAGTTGCAAGCGAGAATTTCATCATCGCTTGCGGCTGGGATTGGCATCGTCCCCGACTCCTCCTGATGTCGAGGGTAAATGGGCGAGGTTTAGGACTGTGACTCATGCAGCTGCAATGGCTGCTTTGGGTACGCGGTCCAGACCTCCCCAGAGACCCTGGCTGACAAAGGAGGTGTTCAGGATGGTTGAGAAAAAGCGACAGGCCCACTGTCATCGGCTACAGAATCCCACGTCAGAGAATGAGGAGGCTTACCGCAGCCTTCGCTCGGAGGTTTGGAGAGCCGTGAGGCGCTGCAAGGATGGGTGGTGGTCGCGGGTTGCTGAGGAGATGGAGTCTGCCTCAGTGGCCCGTGATCACAAATCTCTATTTAACTCCATCAAAAAAGTAACCTGCAGCGCCACACCTATTACCATCATTATGGGAAAAAACGGTGATCCAATCTCCGACCCCCAGGAACAGGTTCGCAGATTTGCTGAGCATTTCTGTGAGGTCCTGGGGGAGGGAAAATCCCACAGCCAGGAAAACATCGTGGCACAAAGTGAGGATGACCCTGCTGAGGCTGCGGTGCCTCAAATATTGGAAGAAGTCACCCCTGTGAGTGGCTGGCTGAGGTGCCATCTGCTGAGGAAGTATTGAAGGCGATCCGGAGTCTGAGACCAGGAAAGGCAGCGGGCAGAGATGATCTCCCAAGCGAAATGCTGAGGGAGGGTGGCGTTTGTGCACAGACTGCCCTATATGACATCATAACAACAGTCTGGACCACTGGACGGGTTCCGCAGGATTGGAAGGATGCCCTGGTGGTCCCCCTTTTTAATAAGGGGGACCGCACAGACTGTAACAACTACAGGGGCATCTCACTCCTCAGTGTGCCGGGAAAGGTCCTGGCAAGGATTATTCAGCATCGCCTTGCCAGGCACGCTGAGGAGAGGCTTGCGGAGCCCCAATGCGGTTTCAGGAAAGGGCGGTCCTGCACAGACGCCATATTTTCTGTCCGTCTGCTACAGCAGAGGTGTAGGGAATTCCAACAAGACCTACATCTCTGCTTTATTGACCTGGTCAAGGCCTATGATACCATCAGTAGGCCTGGGCTCTGGGTCGTTCTTCGTGCTTTTGGAGCACCTGACCCTCTGCTCACGATCATTAAGGACCTTCATGGTGAGCGGGCCCGGGTAAAACTACGTGGCCGGGAGTCAGAGCCATTCCCTGTACACCTTGGGGTGCGACAGGGATGTCCTCTGGCTGCCACATTATTTAACATCTATTTTGACCACGTAGTTCGTGAAGCCTTCAATAGCTGTACCGGGGGAATCTCCATATGGTACAGATATAATGGGAGGCTAATTGATGCCCGGGTGCGGTCAAGGGATGGCTCCCTATTGCTCAACCACGTTATGTATGCTGATGATTTGGTAATAGCTGCTCAGTCAGAGGAGGAGTTGGAGACGCTGCTGCTGAGACTGGAGCATGCCACTAAGAGGTGGGGCCTTACCATCAGCCCCACCAAAACTAAGCACCTGCCTGGGTATTTTGTACCATCGGACACTCCACCCCCACAACTCCCAATCGGTGATGGGGCAGTTGTGGAGAAAGTGGAGAGTTTCCCATACCTGGGCAGTGTGCTTATGACTGGCTCCAGTTTAACAGCAGAGGTCTCACTCCGAATCAGTCGAGCGGCAATATCTTTTCATCGGTTGCGTAACGCTGTGTGGAAGCTGCCTGGTCTGTCGCTCCGCACTAAGCTTCAGGTCTTCTCGGCCGCGGTCATTCCCTCCCTTCTCTACGCTTGCGAAACGTGGACCCCCCTAAAATGGAACATCTTCGCCGGTTAGAAACATTTAGGCTGGCCTGCCTACGATCCATCCTGGGTTTAACCAGACTGGATTGTGTGAGGAGCTCACAAATCCTTGAAAGATCTGGGCAGGGTCCCATCGGTGAGCTCCTCCGGCAGGCAAGGCTGCGGTGGCTGGGTCATGTGGCCCGCGTGCCCAGCCACCGCATGCCGAGGCGGCTTTTGTTTGGCCGGATTGAAGGGGCTAGGCGGGCGCGGCACGGGCTGAAGAGGAGATGGAGTGATGTGGTACAGGAGGACGTGGAGCTGAGTGGACTTGCCGATGACTGGTGCCAGCGGTGTCGGGATCGGCCTCTGTGGAGGAGGCTCGTGAAGGATGCTGCTGGGCAGTTGGAGGCGGTCGCCCTCCAACAACAACGGAGGGCGGAGGAGCGACGCTCACAACAGCGAGCGGAGCGCCGGATGGCTGGGGCACAGCAGGTTGGCACAGTAGGGGGCACAGGTGGTGCATCAGCCAGTCATCTCAGTCAGTCGACCCGTGGCACCTGGGTCTGCCCCGTGACCTCCTGCCAGCGGGCGTTCGACACTTCACGTGGCCTCAGGGTGCACATAGCCTGGCACAAGCGTCGTGGTGACGTCACCGCCACTTAGTGGCGAATGGCGGTTGTTGTTGTGTATGTGTGTGTGTGTCTGTGTGTATGTGTGTGTGAGTGTATGTGTCTGTGTCTGTATGTGTGTGTAACTGTGTATGTGTCTGTGTGTACCTCCATGAAGAAGAGAAGGGCAGCTCCCAGCACCGTGATGATTTCTCCGGCCAGACGGAAGTAGTCGTGACGTGTTGAGTATTCCAGTGACAGCTGTGATGCACAAAGACAAAGATCCCCCAGGTAGCCTCTAGCAGGGCTGTAGGGGCAAGTGCTGCTGGTAGCGAGTAGCACCACCTATGATGCACACACACAGACAAAGCTCCCCCAGGTAGCCTCTAGCAGGGCTGTAGGGGCAAGGGCTGCTAGTAGCGAGTAGCACCACCTATGATGTACACACAGACAAAGCTCCCCCAGGTAGCCTCTAGCAGGGCTGTAGGGGCAAGTGCTGCTAGCTACCACCACCTATGAAGGCTACCGGCACTGTGGCACACACAGAGGGGGTGTTGTGGCAAGCACCACCACCACCATCACCACCACCACCATCACCACCATCACCACCACCATCACCACCACCATCACCACCACCACCACCACCACCATCACCACCACCACCACCACCATCACCACCATCACCATCACCACCACTATCACCACCACCACCATCACCACCACCACCATCACCACCACCACCATCACCACCACCACCATCACCACCACCACCACGCCCGGCCACAACACAGAGGCTCATGTTGCTGGTTACTCAGTGCATGGTTTGTGGAGGTAGGTGGCACGTGGTAGGTGGCACGTGGTAGGTGGCACGTGGTAGGTGGCACGTGGTAGGTGGCACGTGGTAGGCGCTAGGTGGCACGTGGTAGGTGGCACGTGGTAGGTGGTAGGGGGCACGTGGTAGGTCGCACGTGGTAGGTGACACGTGGTAGGTGGCACGTGGTAGGTGACACGTGGTAGGTGGTAGCTGGCACGTGGTAGGTCGCACGTGGTAGGTGACACGTGGTAGGTGGCACGTGGTAGGTGACACGTGGTAGGTGACACGTGGTAGATGTCACGTGGTAGGTGACACGTGGTAGATGTCACGTGGTAGGTGACACGTGGTAGGTGACACGTGGTAGATGACACGTGGTAGGTGACACGTGGTAGATGTCACGTGGTAGATGTCACGTGGTAGGTGACACGTGGTAGGTGACACGTGGTAGGTGACACGTGGTAGGTGGTAGGTGTCACGTGGTACCGTGGGGCCTGTGGGCCTGTGGTAGGCGACGAGGGTGAACACGACCAGGTAGGCGAGGTATCACGTGGTAGGTGTCACGTGGTAGGTGTCACGTGGTAGGTGACACGTGGTAGGTGGTAGGTGTCACGTGGTAGGTGGTAGGTGTCATGTGGTAGGTGTCACGTGGTAGGTGACACGTGGTAGGTGGTAGGTGTCACGTGGTAGGTGGTAGGTGTCACGTGGTAGGTGGTAGGTGTCACGTGGTAGGTGGTAGGTGGTACCGTGGGGCCTGTGGGCCTGTGGTAGGCGACGAGGGTGAAGACGACCAGGTAGGCGAGGTATCACGTGGTAGGTGGTAGGTGTCACGTGGTAGGTGGTAGGTGTCACGTGGTAGGTGGTAGGTGGTAGGTGGTACCGTGGGGCCGGTGGGCCTGTGGTAGGCGACGAGGGTGAAGACCACGAGGTAGGCGAGGTATCACGTGGTAGGTGACACGTGGTAGGTGTCACGTGGTAGGTGGTAGGTGACACGTGGTAGGTGATACGTGGTAGGTGTCACGTGGTAGGTGTCACGTGGTAGGTGGTAGGTGGTACCGTGGGGCCTGTGGGCCTGTGGTAGGCGACAAGGGTGAAGACGACCAGGTAGGCGAGGTATCACGTGGTAGGTGGTAGGTGACACGTGGTAGGTGGTAGGTGTCACGTGGTAGGTGTCACGTGGTAGGTGTCACGTGGTAGGTGGTAGGTGTCACGTGGTAGGTGGTAGGTGGTAGGTGACACGTGGTACGTGGTACCGTGGGGCCTGTGGGCCTGTGGTAGGCGACGAGGGTGAAGACCACGAGGTAGGCGAGGTATCACGTGGTAGGTGTCAC